GTTTTTTAATATAGAGAAATATTAAATACAAATGTGTCAATCATATTAAGACATGTTCTTCAATTACTGGGATATTTACCTTGGTACGATCGCGTTGGATGGACGTTTTATTTTTATTTTAAGTCTCTGAATATCTTTATTTTTAAAGCTGATGATAATCGATAACGAGGTGGTGATTGATTAAAGAAAAGTCGCTACAGGACGTTTACAATGACTAATCTCGCGATACAGACATTCGACGCGAATGAATCCGTAGCTTACACAACGTGCAAGTTACAACAACGGCGCGACGTCGAGCGTTCGCTAAAACAAACGGCGTGCACAATCAGTTGTTTTGGTAGAACGATACGACGTTAGTGATACGTCAGAAACATCCGCGTTTTGACACAGATACAAACGGAATCGCGCCAAGTAATCAGCTTCGTCGTCGGCTTGAGTTTTTCGTAGGACGTGTCATCTCGATAAAAGAGCGTGATAAGGAAGAAGACGAACGAAGGACAGTTCTCATGATTCTCGCGTTACGTCGTTACGTTATATTATTATCGTGCATGCTATGGTCGGTGCGCGAGTACTCGCGCGTACGCGCATTACTCGCAAGGATCAACAGACGTGGTCGTTGCAGATCGAAAAGAAGAACGCAAGTCGCAATGATTTGCGCAATTCGCCAACACTTGACTCGACTTCCTCGGCTCGAAGCGCTTACTCAGACTTCGCCGGTCGGCACTGTTCTATTCTCGCAATGTCCTGGCTCAACGAGATTCTCGTGCACGCGTATCTCGCACACGACCATTATAATACTTCTACAAATGATACGTCCCATTAACGAGAAAATTATAAGATTCATCGAACTTGTGCTCTTTTCTGCTTTGTTTCTCGCAGCACGATCGAAACAATGAGCGTAATTTATTCGAGAAGCAGTTTTTCTGTCCATTTATTCTTTGAGAGAGTATACACCTTGGCAGAAAAGCAGGAAACAGAAAGGCAGAAGCCAATCAGAACTCGCGCTGGTAGAAAAGCAGAAATTGAAGTAGATTAGTATCTGATAACTTTTTTCTGACTGGCCTCTCTGTCTTTCTGCTTTCTGCCAAGGTGCGAATTCTCTCTTAGGTTCTTCACGCGTGGTTAACGAGTGGCGTTTTTCACGAAGAAACAAACGCGATACAACGATAAGACGATCGCAGGAAAATTTTGCAACCCGAGGTGCGAAAAAATACACACACCCAATCCCGTCCACTCACGCCAGTCTAATCACCGACATCTTCCCGGCTCGCAAGTCGCAATCCTTTTCTTTCTGCGATACGCAACGTGCCGTCGTAGCCACTCAGGATCGTGATTATGCACGCACTTTCCAAAGTTTGTAATGGTGATGCGCACGCGAGCGATATCTTCCACGTTTTCTGACAGTCTCCTGTACAGTTACGCGCTTCGATACAAGAGCTCTGTCTAATAACACGCGACTTCGCTGCACACTCATTAAATTTTATAGCAATTTGCGAGATATTAATCGAAAAATATTAATTTACGCTGATCTTATCAGAATCGACTTGGGAGATTACCAGCGGAAGTAAAGTTTCACTTTGATCAGAATTAGACCTTTAGAATGATTTCTACTCGGAAATTATAATAAAAAAAGAGAACAATGAATAAGAATAAGAGAGAAACGCAATTATTAGGGATGACCCACTGTCTTGGGTGTCAATATGGTAATTGCATTTTGTTTTATAAACTTTGGGCAACTGCCAGCACGGGAACGATGACGATGAATCACAATTGCTATTATTACTCGCAATTAAACTGTCAGATACTCCGCGCGATAACTAGTTCCGAGATAACGCGCGAATTCGCGCATCCCGGAATTCATTGTTGCGAATTTAGGACGCACAGTTGCCCGATACAGAGGCGATCGTATCGCGCGCTCAGTTACACGTCTTCTTTTAATCGCGTATGCAAATACCAGCGGCCTTGTAAGTGTTAACCATTGGGAAGCGTGTTAAAACGAAAGTAAGGTGCGCACTATTCATCCATTCGCGTTGGAATTGGTTCTACTGAATCGATCCTCCACAGGCGGGAACTTTAACAAGAACCATAGCGCTGTCGGGGTTTTGTCCGAGGCATGTGAATGTAAATCTCTCTTGACTTGCCGGCGAAACGAAGAAGAAACTTACTATTATACTGGACTTACCAGAATCCACGCGTTAGAAGGTCAAGCGGCGCGTTTAACTAGGACAAGAGTACGAACCGCGATCATCTCTCGCGTGGCAGCGACGGGCGTGTGTAATCGCGTCAGGAACTTGCGAAACTCGATGGCAGATATGTAGCAGAATGAATCGCGATTGTCTCGCGATCCGCCTTCTTCGGGGGAACAATCCTGAACGCTTAATTAACATCAAGAAAACGTAAAAGGACTAATATGAGTCGTGGGGATAGAAGCACGCAAGCGTATAAGTTATACAGCGGTATCTTAGATGTGAAATATATTGTGTATGCATTGCAGATGAAATCGCAAATTGCCAGATCGTTACGAACACGAAGAAACGAATAATTATTCGAATCGCGTTTGTAACGATTTTGGATACAATTGCGGTTTTATTTGTAACACGTATACCAATACACTTACTTCTAGCACACGACTCTTATTGGCCTTTTTATGTTTTATGTAATCACAGAGTCTCACTTTTTTTGCAGCGTAATTGACATGTTGACCGCAGCGTTGACTTCCATTGATTGTACAAAAGCTCGGCTGATAATCGAATTATCAAAGTAAAAGGAAAAATGCGTATATCTTTCCATCGGCTTCTTTATCGGCCGTGCAATCATTAATTCCGTACTTAATTGTTTGATGCGCTTAATTGTACCTCATACGTAACTTAATGAGACGCGGTAACATCGCAATACCCGTCAGCGGTGACCACCGCAGCGTTCAACGTGTTAATCAGCGTTCTCGGTTCTTTTCCGTCATTAGCTCGAAACGAACTTTCATCGAGCATCCACTCGTGGACGGATCGACCTTTGCAGACTTATTCCTGTGAATATATAATCTTAGTATCCTACACGGAAAAAAAATATTTGGTTGAATTAATCAAATATTTGGTCGAATGTGAATGATCCAGAAATTTCGATTGAAGTAACCCGAATTCTGTTTAAGTTGACAAGATTTTTGGCAGACTAACCAAACATGTCTGGTTATTTAACTAAACATGTCTGGTTAAATAACCAGACATGTTTGATTAGTCTACCAAAAATCTTGTTAACTTAAATAGAATTCGGGTTACTTCAATCGAAATTTTTGGGTCGTTCATATTCGACCAGATATTTGGTTAATTCAACCAAATCTTTTTTTTTCGTGCACAAGTAAATTTCCAAATATTTTTTCTCTCAGTGTAACCGTGCGATTTGACTCTTTTTTAATGTGCGTTGTCCTTGGACTGAGTTCAACGAAACTCTGCGAGACCTCCCGCGTCACCTCCCGCGAGAAAAATACGCCGGAATCGAAATGGGACATCGCAATGAGAGCGCACGCGAACGCCCCGGTCGCGATTATTATTAACCCCCGCTCGCAACTCAACAGTTGACTCCGATGGAGAAAGATATGATCCATCTCCAGGCGATTCACATCGGCGGGAAAACCGGTTTACGGAGAGCCTTTTGTATGACTCGTGGCGAGCGTTATGCGCGCGAGGAAGTGAAAGCAACAGCAACTTGCGGGACAATACGGCCATGGACTATCTGTCTCTCCTGTCGCAATGTCGAACTCGATTGAGTGTCGAGGAATGATAGGGCGAAAAGAGCCATTCCCACTTGCGTAAACCTTCCTCGAGTTCCGAAGCTACTTGCGATCCTTGTTTCGTTAGCTACGCGTGCGTTCGCCTCGTGGCGGAAAATCATGTTTGCTCTAATGTTGTTTGTAACCGGTAACAATAAATCGACTGGTTTCTGTATCCAGATACTACGGATACTTAAACTGATAATACTCATGTATCCCTACCTATTTGTTATTGTTGTTATCGTTATTGTTATAAATAGTTCGTGGACTTCTGAACGATTTTATATGTGCCGATCTCTGTAAAGAGATTTGCCATTTATTATCCATCTTCGCAGCAGCTGACTCCATATCAGCTGATTTTGTTCCAGCTGATTTGGTCTCAGCTGATTTCGTATCAGCTGATTTCACAGCCGTGTATTGACATCACTGGTGTGTTCTTAGAAGCACAAGAAAGATAGATTCCTTCAAACTGATAAAATTTTCCTAGAGGAGTATTATCGGAACACGTTACATTCGGTACGTCCTTTCATCGTTAGGATGAATACACATGGTTTCTACATGGTCAACTGTAACGTTGTGTTAGGATATGAAGTAACGCATGTGTGTGGAATTGCACAGCCGTCTGCGATTTCCGCGACTCAGTATCGTGTGAGGTAACCTTTCCTCTAGAAGTCGCCGGGCTCTATCGATAAATGCCACGAATGAGTTGAATATTCGTGTGTCAAACGGCCGAGAGGTCGCCGTCACGGTGGCGGCGATTGACGTTCGCAGAAATGTCAGCGAGTTGTCGCGAGTAGAAGTCGCCCGACTTGCATAAAAATTGATAATTCACATTCGGAACGTGTCTTGCGGCACTTAATAATAGCACCGGCACCGTCTCGACGAGTATGTACCGCCTTGTGCGATCAGTTTCCAGTTTCCAGTTTCGTAGAGTACACCGATGACCGGACATGTGGGGAGAATTTATGATAACGATTAATTTAAAATACCGGTTCTCCGGACAGCTGCCCTCCTTCCGTCTCAGAATTTCGTTCCGGGCTTGTCGGGAGATACGTTATCACTATTACATTACATTACATCGAGATCCGGATATTATCCGGCTGATTCTGTAATAATTATTTCGGACAATTCGGATGTCACGTAGTCTCAGTTGCAGCGTAGAACCGTCCTTATCTTCTTTCCCGTGAGAAATCAATACAGCTCAGTCGATATTAATACTTTTTGAATTGTATTTCAGAGGGCAAGGTCGAGGTGTCGAGAGATGGCAAATACCTGAGCACCCTAGCACCTGGCAAAGTGCTGGGCGAGCTCGCGATTCTTTACAATTGCAAGAGGACAGCAACGATCACTGCTGCAACCGACTGCCAGCTCTGGGCCATCGAACGGCCATGCTTCCAAACTATTATGATGAAGACTGGTCTCTCGAGGCAGGCGGAATATACTGACTTCTTGAAGAGGTAAACTCATTTGGATTTTTACGCGTAAACAATTTCGTTAGAACTATCTTTCAATCAAGTTTCACGGATAAGTTCATTTTACGTTAAATTCACGTTTCAGCGTGCCGATTTTCAAGAACCTGCCCGAGGAAACTCTAATCAAAATTTCGGACGTTTTAGAAGAGGTGAGATCGCGGTCTTCCTTGACGAGGCACGGTCTGTTTTAATTTTATCTTTATCGTAACTACCATTTAAATTTTACGTTTACAGACATTTTACAACAATGGAGATTATATAGTAAGACAAGGGGCGAGAGGTGACACGTTTTTCATCATCAGCAGAGGGCAGGTACGCGTTACGATAAAACAACCCGATACAACGGAAGAGAAGTACATCAGGACACTGAGAAGAGGCGATTTCTTCGGCGAAAAAGCTTTACAAGGGTGAGCGTTATTTATAGTTCTATATGGAAAATATATTTAAATTTATCACGATTATGGGAATATTAAAATTTTAAATTTTGCCTCGTTCTTACAGGGACGATCTCAGAACTGCCAACATCATCGCTGACGATCCGGAAGGAGTGAGTTGTTTGGTAATTGACCGCGAAACGTTTAATCAACTGATTTCATCCTTGGACGAAATCCGAACGCGATACAAGGACGAGCTAGTGGAACGTAGAAGGTAAAATATCTTTTGTTGACTGTGCAAGGTAGATATATGTTGAATAATTATTTTAGAATCGATAGCTACGTTGCACTTATTACTACAAATAAATATTGTGTTTCATGCTTATCATTAGGATGGAAGAGTAAACTATACATTCCGAGTAAGTTCAATGATAAAGACGAACGCGAATATATTTAATGGAATATATTTAATGTCGTCAGTGTTGTTCGTATATAGAGTACAGAAAGCGCGCAACGAGAAAAATAAGTTTACTTACGGTTTACAAGCGTGTGATTAACTCTGATTCCTATAATTGATATATAAAAGATAATTCGGTCTTGACTTCGGAAAGACTAAAATCTGACTGCTTCCTTAGACTGAACGAGGAATTTCGGGATCTACGGTTACAAGACCTTCGGCCACTTGCGACTCTAGGCGTGGGTGGTTTCGGAAGAGTCGAATTAGTTCAAATTGTCGGAGATAACACGCGATCCTTCGCTCTCAAACAAATGAAGAAAGCGCAAATCGTCGAGACGCGACAGCAACAGCACATAATGTCGGAGAAGAGGATTATGGGCGAGGCGGACTGTGACTTCGTGGTGAAACTCTTCAAAACGTTCAAAGACAGAAAGTATCTTTACATGTTGATGGAAGCCTGCTTAGGCGGCGAGTTATGGACCGTTCTTAGGGATAAAGGTCACTTCGATGACAGTACTACGCGGTTTTACACCGCGTGCGTCGTCGAAGCTTTTGATTATTTACACTCCAGGAACATTATCTATCGGGATCTGAAACCGGAAAACTTACTTTTGGATAGTCAAGGGTAAGAAGACATAAGATGTACGGAGTTAGCAGATATGTTGCTTAAGATAGTACTGGGAAAACTTTGATGAATATTTATCTTGATCGGATATTATGTTTCAGATACGTGAAACTTGTGGACTTTGGTTTTGCTAAGCGATTGGATCACGGGCGCAAGACGTGGACTTTCTGCGGCACGCCAGAATACGTAGCGCCGGAAGTGATTTTGAATAAAGGGCACGATATAAGCGCTGATTACTGGTCCCTCGGAGTTCTTATGTTTGAACTGCTAACGGGTACACCTCCATTTACTGGCGCCGATCCTATGAAGACATACAACATTATCTTGAAAGGAATCGACGTCATAGAATTTCCCAGATCTATCACACGTAATGCTATGGCGCTAATTAAAAAACTTTGCAGGTAAATGATAACGATGTCTTTTTTTTTATACACAAGAACATTTTAGTATAACCGATGAATATCTGTACAAAGTGTTACAAATGTTCTTTTCAGAGATAATCCAGCGGAACGTCTTGGGTATCAAAGAGGTGGTATTAGTGAGATACAAAAACACAAGTAAGTACATTCGTGTTTCAATGCTAGATTAATGTCGGTGTATTTTTACAATTTTTGTATTGCTTTACAGATGGTTCGACGGTTTTAACTGGGAAGGCTTGAGAACCAGAGCCTTGGAACCACCGATATTGCCACGAGTCCAAAACGCTATAGACACTGCGAATTTCGACGAATATCCACCAGATTCCGATCCCCCGCCACCAGACGATATTACCGGTTGGGATAACGATTTTTAATGAAATTAGTAGAGAAGATATATATTTAATATTCACTTTCGATTACATTTTGACAGAAAATGAGAGAGAGAGTGGGGGGAGAAAGAGAGAGAATTATTGCGAAAGGACATTACGATTTCTCAGTTATATGAAACAATTGGCGATACCTGCATTTATTTATATTTTTCTCATTTCACGTGATATATTACAGATTACAATCGCATTTTATCATATTTTTCCACTCTTTATGCATATTTCGCGAAACAGTCGTGATTAAAACGAAAGGAATTGCACTGTGATAAAAATTTAGAATTTGTATAAATTCCGTGCAGCGTAGATATTAATTAACCTTGATGGAAAAAGTGATAAATCTCGAAGAAATATGATTTTGATCTGACGTAATCTTTTCTATTTATGCCGCGTCAGATGCATTTCAACAGTAAAGTATCTCTCCTCCAATGTTATGTATCGTAATAGGATACTTATACGCAAGTGTCAAGTGCCATTATTACCTCGAAAAGGTAAATTCATATACGCGTCATACTTGTGCTCAGAAACGTGGTAACGCGCTAAGAAAACAGTCAGCTCAAGTCCAAGGGACCTCTTGCCATCGATACTGTTAAACTTGTCAGAATGTGCATATATAGTGCGGTCGTTCGATTCCTTACGGCAGGTCCATTGTTGTTTGATTCACTTTAGAGTTTATTGTAATGATTCTATTTTAATTAATTATACATATATGACACACTTGTAAATAATGAATTATAAATATCATGCAAATTTTAAATGCGAAATGTATATCGATATTAAATAAAGTTTTATTAATAGCAACTGAAGATACATAAATATGTAAGATCTGCCAAATTGATTTGCTTTAGTGACTCATTTAACATTTAATGAATGATGAAAAAAGAAACAGAAAAGGAAGAAATTTATATATATCTTATAATTACAAAAGAGAGAATGAGTACTTTCATCATTTATATATTTTGAAACAAAGCAGAAAAACTTGAAAACATTTTCTCAGATACACGTAGTATAATATTCTAGATTCAATGCAATATTAAAGAAAATAATACTGACTAATAATTTGACTATTTTTTGCAATCAAGCCTTTAATTGTATCATATATATATTATATATTCGTTGATCTTTGCGCTTCATATATAAAATATTCATATCATAATATTTATGATACAAAGTAATGCACTACGGTTGCGAATAATTAAATACTTTTTTAATTAATTATCGTGTTTGATGATTAATATGAACAAATTCAATCGAGGATCGTTCGATCGACGATTGATTTCAATGAATTCAATTAGAGGTCATTCGCAAAATCAATTATATATAACAATAAGTTACATCAATTGACTATAAGTAATATTGAGTAACGAACGTTTTTTTTATTTTGAATTGATTCAATCAATTAAATATTCTTTGATTGGTTTTATTAGAATCAATCGTCAATTGAATTAAAAAATTTGTTCAAATTAATTTTTAAAGTTAAATAATTTTTAAGTTAAAAAAATTGATATTTTTATACAATTCTGCTTACTAATATTGTTAATATTTATATAATACTTCTTATTTTTATTGAACTTTCGATAAATTTATTGGTGATTAATTTTACTAATATTGTTAATATTTATATAATACTTCTTATTTTTATTGAACTTTCGATAAATTTATTGGTGATTAATTTTACTAATATTGTTAATATTTATATAATACTTCTTATTTTTATTGAACTTTCGATAAATTTATTGGTGATTAATTTTACCGACTGAGTGTGCACGTAGTAAATCACTTGATAGCTCATAGATGACGCTCACAATCACTAGATGGCGCTCACAATCGCACGAGTGGCGCAGTTTCGACACTGCTCTTTGAATTTATACTTCGCGTTTCGAGCAGAAAGTTGAGTTCTTTGTTGAGCGACCTTGCGTTAAAACGAAGTAGTGAACTCGCACTTGGAGAAGAAGTAGACGAGTTCATATCATTCCGTCCCAGAAATTTGTGCATGATAAATCCAAGTAAGTAAACATGATTTTTTCTCGTACGTTTTTATTTATTTCGTACTTACTAAACGTATCGATATTCCTATCATCTTGTACGAGGTTACCGCTCTATGATGTCCGACTATTCGAGATTATCGTGAAGAACATTTGTGGTATTTTTTCGTGAGAAAACAAGGAATTTCGTAATCTATTGGATTTCGATAACGGCCACGATAGTTGTTTTCTCTCTCGATGTTTTATTTCAAATATTTTATGTTTTAGTATCAAGTATTTATATCGGAATTTGATGCTAGACTTTTTACTCAAAAAGAGTAAAAGAAAAATGGCAACGACGACCCTGTAACTTTTCCCTATGCACATTCCCTCTGTACTGTGTAGTGGTTATATACTTATCTGTATATATAAATATTTATAGTTAAATTATGTTCAGCAAATAAATGCTTGAATAACACCTTGGTGGAAAAATGTAATATTGGCTAACAATTTTATTTTATTAGAGCTATGACTCTATTAGATTGTTACATTATAATGAAGAATAATTAAAATAATACAGATAAAATTACAGCAGATTCAACTGACAAAAAATCTATTTAATATACTTTATCTATTTTTATTTTTTCTGTAATATTCTGTTGATACAGATATTTGTGCCTATAAGTGTGCTTACTTGGCATTAACAGTTTTTTTCTAAGTCTTTCTTAATTTTAATCTAAATCTAATCCTAAGCTAAGAGTGTAGAAAAAATGTTCTTTCTTTTCTATGTTCTTACTAGGAAAAAGAGGAATGTTGAAATAGTGTAAACAAATATGTGGCTGAAAGAAAAACTTGTTTTATAAAGATAAAAGATGTTCTATATATAGTTTTATGTTTTCTAGCAATATGTATATACAGCTTTGTATAATTGTGCTTAATTTGTGTATTATTACAGTCATTATAATCTCAAGAAATATTTTGTTATTTATGCATTGATATCACTACTCATAAAACTTGGTAGTAAAATTGGTAGTTTAGTCATCATTTATATATGCCTTTAATTAAAATAACTATTATTTTATATTTTCTCTGTATATAGTACTCTCCCAAAATGACTGACAAGATTCCCTTGGGAAGAGGCCGTGGCTCTTTGCTAGATATCATGAGACAAAGAGAACAAGAAAGAAGGAGGAGAGAATATTCTGTGGAAACACCTAGTCAGTCATCATCAGATCCAACGAAATCATTTGAGGGACATTCATTTCAGTCATCGATGGATCAAACAAGATTATTTGAGGAACATTTACAAAGTTCATTTGAAACTCAAATTTCAGCTACAGTCAAAGGCCGTGGACGTGCTAATCTAGCTAGTTTGATGAAACTGCGTAACAGTGATAATGTATTAGAATCTCAACAAATAAAAACAGTTGGACAGAGTAGGTCAACAGGCAGAGGGACTCTTCTTGATTTGTTACCAAAACAAATGTGAGTATAGATACTTTTGTAATATTTGGATGGTATTTATGAATGAATATTCATAGATTAGATTTTTTTTAGTGAAACAAGTACCTCCACTTCAAGCTCAGCACATACTAGTGCGTTTGTTGAAAAGGACTTCGATGGAGTTTTAGGTGCATTGGATGATCTTACAGTATATGATAATCCGCCTTCACCTGTACAAGATGTCGAAGAAAGTGCCACACCAATATGTCGACAAGGCATAAGTGGAAAGACGTAAGCAATTTAAATGTTACATGAGTGTGTGCACTTAACCTTGATTCATACGCAGAGTAACTTCTTTCACGTTGAATTCGTATTGTTTTATATAAATTAATACCACTAAACGATAAAATTTTAAAATTTTTATAATTTTTTCCTCAATCTGACGTTTGGAAAATTTTTAACTATGCAAAATGAAATTTTGCGCAGTTAAAAATTGCACAGTGAGGAATCACTGTACATGTAGAGAAGGACGAGTGTACCTTCTTAATTTAAGGGGTTCATCTTTGGGAGCTGAAAAATGAAGCATTTTTTAGAAGTGTGTGTGTGTGTGTGTGTGTTTGTGTGTGTGTGTCAACTATTCCAGGACCACACAATAGACTTTGTGTGCTTTCTTGAACAATTCATATTCATCTACATTCATTTATCTATAAGAAAGTGCAAGAAACAAAAAAATTAATTTTTTTTAAAGCTACGAAGGTAAATATGCCCTTAATTAGCAGCAATGCAATAAAAAACGTTTCTCCTTTTCTAGAATAAAGTTATCCGCCAATTATATAGACGTCGAGTTAGAACCTGGCAGGGGTTTATTCCAGTATGAAGTGAAATATTCGCCAGATATAGATGCGAGAGGATTACGGCGCAGTCTGCTCAATCAACACGCTTCTCAGTTAGGACGAGAAAAAACATTCGACGGTGCAATACTTTTCTTGCCAATGCAACTGCCAGAGAAAGTAAGTTTAAGCTTTGTAACATTAATCGATACAATTTACGCATACTTTCCGCGTAATAATATTTATTAAATTTTTAGATTACAAAATTGTGTTCCGTTCATCCGGTAGATGGATCAAATGTGACTCTCACGGTTATTTATAAGAAAAAACAGTCGATGAGTGAAAACGTTCAATTCTTTAACATTCTATTCGGTCGTATCATGCGCGCGCTCAGCCTGGTTCGCATAGGCCGACAAAATTTCAATCCAAAAACTCCACATTTCATAGATGAACATCAGTTGGAAGTGTGGCCTGGTTACGTGACCGCCATAAACGAATACGAAGGTGGCTTAAAGTTGTGTTTAGATATTAAACACCGCGTCCTGCGTACGCAAACTGTGCGAGATATAATGTAAGAGATTCTTCGTTTTTGCTTAACGTTAAGATCGCATCATCGAAGTTACAATTGGTAATTTATGATTGAGAGACAGCTCAATTTATGTCAATTACGATTATTTTTCAGGACTGATATGTACCATAGACAACGAAACAATTATCGGGATTACGTGATGAAAGAGATCGTTGGCATGAGTGTATTGACGCGATACAATAATAGAACATATCGTATAGACGACATCGCATGGGATAAAACACCGGAATTTAAGTTCTCTAAAAATGGAGAAGAGATATCTTTGATAAATTATTATAAGACATATTGCGGCATTGAGATAAGAGACATGACACAACCGCTCTTGGTTAACAGGGCCACGGAAAGAACACCGACCGGCGAGGTTTGTAGTATCACTATTTTGCACGTTGATGTACAATGATTTCATTTATTTTATTTATTATTAACAGAAGAATCTTTTTAATGCAATAGAAACAAGAGAAAATATTACTTTTGATACCGGAATTGAGTTACATCTCAGGTCTCACAGACAGTATCCGCTCCAACTACAAGATAATGAAAGATTTGGACATGCTTACGAAAGTGTCGCCTAGTAGACGCTGCGATGAGATCAAGTTATTTGTGGAAACGATACAACAAAACGAAGTAACACGGCAAATGTTGGCAGGGTGGGGTTTGCGTTTGAATAAGGATGTAGTCCAATTTAGCGCAAGAAGTGTCGAACCGGAAAAAATATATTTTGGTAATAATAAATATTACGAATACACGGATAAACCTGAATGGATGGGCGCTGCAGCACGAAATCCTGTGTTACGCACAGTGAGTACATTGAAGTACAATCGATTGAGAACAGGGTGGGGTTATTTTGACGAGTTATTTTGTGGAAATATCGCCATTGTAATCCTATATTTCAGCCACACTTGAACAGATGGTATATCTTATACATCAATAAAGATGAAAATATCGTGAGAGATTTTCTAAGTATGCTGCAGAATATAACGAAAGCAATTGGTATGAGAATAAACAATCCGCAAAAGATCATTTTAAGGGACGAAAAAAATGAAAGCTATCTCCGAGAAATTCGGGGAAACTTCAATAAAGATTACGAATTGGTGGTCGCAGTATTTCCAACTAACCGTACTGATCGATATAATTCTTTAAAAAGGTTAGTCGATTTTCCTATAATTTCATTGCTCTTATCTGAATGTATATACTTATACAATGTATATACTTATGATCTAAACAATATGTAATTATGTACATATTAATTATGTATATACAATGTATATACTTATGATCTAAACTTTAACACTACTGACGATTGCTTGCTTATAGAGAATGTAATTACAGAAATTAATATATGTTGAATTCTTCTCTCGTGCATAGTCACACACAATATCGTTTTTAGAAAAAATTACTCTTCTTTTTTTAATTTCTTGTTTCTTGCGTTTGTGTAGACTGTGCTGTGTAGAAAAGCCTATAGCGTCGCAAGTTATCTTAACTAGAACACTTGTCAATCCATCCAAGTTGAAAAATGTCACAGAGAAGATCGCGCTTCAGATCAATTGCAAATTAGGAGGAGCTCTTTGGACTGTAACCATGCCATTGGTATTGCTTCTATGCTTTATATTCTATGCTTCATATTCTATGCTTCATATTCTATGCTTCATATTCTACGTTTTATATTTGCTTTATATTTACTTCTATACTTTATCATATACTTTCATCATCTTTTTTCTTATTTGCTAAATTTTTGCTGTTGTAACAGAAAAATTGTATGGTGTGTGGTATAGATGTGTATCACGCTGGTATAGGAAGTGCCTCAAAACGGAGCGTGGCAGGATTTGTTGCGAGTTTAGATGCTCAAATGACTAAATGGCACAGCAAAGTCTGTATGCAGGCTTCCAAACAGGAATTAATGGACATGTTACAAATGTGTCTTATTTCGGCTATCAAGGCATTCCGAAAGGTAATTTCTGTGTCACGTGTTTTTTAAGTGTAAAATGAGAAAGAACTTCCTTGTGAAAGAACCTGTGAAAGAACTTCCTCTGTTGATTTGTCAAAACCAATAATATCGTTTTAGCATAACAATTGCAATCCAGAACGTATAATTATATATCGCGATGGAGTTGGCGATGGTGATTTGGATTATGTCGTAGGATACGAAGTAAAACAGTTACTGATGACATTTAATCGCATTGACCCAAATTATAAGCCGCAACTCAGCGTGATTGTCGTCCAAAAACGTATAAACACGCGATTGTTCATGAAAACTGTGAGTAAACAATTAAAACAATTTATTTTGATTCGTTGAATTGATATGATTGTTGATGATTAAACTATGGTTTTTGTGATTTTCAGGGAAGCCAATTAATTAATCCTCCAGCAGGGACAGTAGTCGACTCCTGCATTACGAGGCGAAATTATTATGACTTTTTCCTCGTGCCGCAAAATGTACGACAGGGTTCAGTATCACCTATCCATTATATCGTTATTTATGACAGTTCAACTATAAAAACCGACCATATGCAACGAATCACGTACAAGCTTTGCCACTTATATTACAATTGGGCCGGTACAATACGTGTACCCGCTCCCTGTCAATACGCCCATAAGTTGGTGTATCAAGTCGGCCAAAGTCTTCAAGTGGAACCACATAGTTCCCTTGAAGATGTTTTGTTCTATCTATAATCTTATCACCCCGCTTAACATTACATACTTTATTCTTTTTCGCTTTCATTTCTCCTCCCTCTTTACCCTTCAAGATAAAGTACAAATATTTTTGTACAAGATGATGATTATTATTGTACGATGTGTGCGACGCAAAGGTCGGTCTTGATCTCAGAGAAAGAAACAAAGATTCATCCAAAGAAACATAGATCTGATAATTATTAATTGATGAAAAATATTATATAGCGGAAGATCATTACCAAGTATATTTTGATAAATAATGCACTTGGGATATATTTCCGCTTAGATGGCTTAATTTTTTTTACTGTAAAGCCATTTAGATTTATGCAAACATACAAGAAACAATATCTGTAACAGTATTTATCTTGTTTAGTATTCAGTGTGAATACCAATGTAAGTTTAATCTCAAATGATGAGTTATTTGTGTATTTTAACTACATTTTTGTTGTATTGTCTTACAAAGTGGAATATATAATTTATTTTTTTTATGCAGAAAGAACACACAAGTATGACTGAAAAAGAACTTGTGTTTCCTGTATTAAGATACAACACAAAAGTCGTTTTTGTTTTTTTTATGTTATGAGAATTTATTGTAAAATTATCATTCGAAAATAGAGAATGTTAAAATAAAAGACAATATTTGTTGTGTTAAATAAAACACTAGAAAAATATATCTGGTTTAATGGAGATATTGAAGAAATTTATTTTTGGATTACAAATAAAGCAAGATTTCATAGTGCTCTAATATATTTTAAATTGTTGTTTAGTTTAAGTAATTTTATATTTCCCAGTATGACATAAAGTTTTGTATTTATCTTTGCATAGATTTCTATCAGTATTTGTTGTACAAATTTATATAAGTCAAGCTTTAATAAAACCTTAGAAAAATTACTAGTCCTATTCATTTTTATTTTTGATATTTTATATATCTATCCAGATACATTATGTTATTATGAAGAATAGCAAATTTTGATCTAATAAATGTGTGTGTGTGTGTGTTGTCTTGATTGAAGTTTTATGTACATGTAAGAAATGTTGCTAATAATCATCGCAATATGTGTCGTTATCAAAGTGTGATGGTTATGAAATGAAGTTGTATTTTATAAATATGATCTCTGTATTGTAACAAAACATTTATTTCATTTTTTTGTTGATAGATATATTGCAGAAATATTTATGGTTTGTAATGTGAATTTAGAACAATTTACAGTTCCTTTTTGTCTATTTTATATAAAATTATATATATCTGTACTAATCTCTATGTGAGCTCTATTTTTTGACATGCAATATTAACAATATTTGTCTGCCTTAAAAGGACACAAATCCTGTCCTGTTTCTATACATGTTTGAAGTAACATCCTTGTGCTAATTTCGCTTTATCTCCATATGTATTCTGCAAACATCCTTGTATTAACATGAATCGTTAACTTCAAATGACACAGAGACAATAAAAAACTTTGTTCTTTATTACAATATATATATATATATATATATATATATATATATATATATATATATATATATCAATAGCGCATAAATTGCAAAGAATCTATAAAATGTTCTGTATCTATAAAATTATAATGTAAATGATTACACTGTAAAAAAAGAAATATGGAACACAACATTAAAGAGCTAATTTTCCCAACTTCTCTTGATAAGCTAAACAGAAACAGTTAAATCATGTCTGCTCTTCCTTTAAATTAGGCAACGATAGATATTTAACTGTTAGTTTATCAAAAAGTTGGAAAGATCAACCTACAGTGTTCTTTTGACAATTGTAACGTCGTCAGAGCTCCAGCTCGCGCGTTTACGAATGTTCTGTCACATGTGTGCGTCGCGTCCTTCGCGAAAGCGGGCATGCCTGCACGAGACTGCGACGTTAGTGTGCGTGCGGACACACCAACACACTCTACCGGATTCCCCCGGAACGCCACCGATTGGGGTAACGTTAGTAAACATCGCGCGCTCGAGGCTGAGGCGTTGCAGTTCGCAGTCAACTACGCGCGTGTCGCGCCGAGAGTGTGCGTATCGTCGCGAGTCCGCTCGAGTACGAGAACGAGCGACGTAGTGCGAGGAAGAAATCGCTCGTACGTGTGTCCTGCAGTGCACATTGCCTCCGCTGTGTCGAACGGATCATGCGACCGATCTAATTGGGTGAAATGCGCGTCTCGCATGAATGGGACGTGCGATCGAGACGCGTCATAACCTCCTCTCGCTTCGCGAAAGCGAGCTGGCGTCTACGATAGTAACAGTACAACCACACCGACGGCGAGGCTGACGGTTTTTCTCAGAGAAGAAGGTTCGTTCGTCAGCGTGCGTCGTACGCGAAGCTCCTAGAGGTCCCCGCGAGGTCCTTCCGCATTGCGGCGTCCGTCCGTCCGTTGACACGATAGTTACGCCACTGCACCGTACCAGAGCCTTGCGTGTGTGCGTGTGATACGTGTAAACACGCCGCAGACGGCACGCACACACGATTGGAAAGCGTGCGCGCGAGCGCTCGCGTCGCCCGCTACGGCTCGTATTTACAATCGCGTAGCGTATCGCGTATATCGAGTCGTCGTCGTCGTCGCCGTCGCCATTCGCGCGCGCGCTCAGCGCCTGCGTACATCTTGTTTACAACTGCGGAGCTCACCGTACACATGACCTTTACAAGATAGACACGATCGTCTGTTCGGCTGTGGCTAGGCGTGAACTCGCGCGCAGCCCGCAAGAGAGAAAGAGAAACAGAGAGAGAGAGAGATAGATAGAGAGAAGTTCGCGCGGATTGTGTGTTACGTCGTGGCGAGCGGTCGCCTTTTGCTGGAATACACGCGGCTGGCCACGTCTCCGGCGATCGCGGCCACGAATTCACGCGCGTCGTCGAGTCGAGTTAAACTCGTGTTGTACGTCGCATTTCTAAGAGAGCAGCAGCGAGGACGGCGTGATCAGTCAGTCAGTCGGTCGGTCGTTTGCTCACTTGCTCGATCGCGATCACGGTCGAGCGAGTGACGCGTTGTTTGTCGCCGAAAGGGGAACGCGTCCCGGGTAAGTGCGAAACGAGGGTTACCACGCGCGCGCGCGAGAGAGAGAGAGAGAGAGAGAGAGAGAGAAAGAAAGAAAGAGAAACGCGACCACGACAGGCGGAGAGACTGTAGGAAGTCCGAATTTGTCACCTCGTCGGCGAGAACGTCGGACGACCCACGGTCGAGCGAATGTGCGCGAGCCATCTTCGCGTGTGTTTCCCGCGTGTTACGGACACGACGAAGCCGCTCTGCATCGTGACACAGTAGTGCGTTGTCGACTATGTGTGAACGAGTGCCTTCTTACTTTCTTTCCTTCCTTCCTTCCTTCCTTCCTTCTATGTGAAGAACAGGAAGCGGAAGGAGAATGACGAAGAAGGACCGGAAGCGGCAGTAGGAGCGAGAAAACAGGAAGAGTGGAAGTCACTGGCGAGAGACGGGACGGAGCGAGCGGGGAAGGAGGGGATCGAGGAGGAACCGCGCGCGCGGCGCGCTATCCTCGCATCGACCTGGAATGCCGACGCGATTGTTTTGACGTCGTCCGCCGTCTGTGGCTATTGCGCATGAAAAAAATCGCGTTGCCCTTGGCAGTAGCCTATTTACCGAGAAGAGCGCGAGAGACGGCCGGCTACGCCGATAAGGGGGCGAATTTCGGCCAACCAGACGCCCACCTGCAAGCGGCAACACAACAGCAGCAGCTCACTGCCGCCAGGCGTCCGCGCGCGCGTTTCCTCGCCGCGCCGTAACACGTTTTCCACGAAAGTCGGGACGGGACGCGCGCGTTCGCTCGCTCGCGACCAAAGAGAAAGAAGGGGAGAGAGAGAGAGAGAGAGAGAACGAACACGCCTTGCCGTGAACCTTCCCTTGCCTGCCTGCCCTGCCTGCCCTGCCTGCCCTGCCTGCTTACCGTCGTTGTCGTCGTCGTCCCTCTCACTCCCTCCCACCCTCCTGCCGTTTGTGTGCATGTGCGCGCTAGTCCGCTCGCGCGTGTTGCGTTCTCCGTCTGTCTGGTTAGCCGTTCGTCCGTTCACGTCTGTTCTGTCCCTGTGTGTGTGTGCATGCGTGCGCTCACGCGCGCGCGCACACCGGTGTGTATACACGTCAACCGTCGTGGACCACGCAGTAAATCGTGTTATTCGGAGCGATAAACAGGTGCACCACACGGTGCTGCTCCTCGGTTCGTACGTTCGTTCGCTCACACGCGTGCACGACCGCACCTCGTGGTGGCTGCTCGCGTGCACCTTTCGACGACTGTCATCCTTGTCATCGTGGTCGGGAACGCGTGGATTATTCGCGCGCGCGGAATGCGCGTACGACGGTGACTCGTCTGAGCCGTTAGGAGCCTCGAGGAACTGTTGTGCGTGTGCGTTCCGCGAACGGTTCCCTCGGCAGCACGTACCGAGATCGGTGGCGGGCGAAATTAGACGAAACCGCGTGACAGGTGGATTCGAGGCGTGCCGAGACATCGGGAGAAAGAGAAAGAGTGAGAGGCGGACAGAAGGGAGACAGAGAACGAGACGGCGAGAGGGAGGGAGCGAAGCGAGAGTGAGAGAGTGCCGTCGCGACATCTCGGAGACGTCGGGCGCGATCTCCTCCGACTGGTTTCGACGTCTTGGACGAAGAGAGAGAAGCGGGAGTGACCGAGTGTGTGTTGTTGTCGTAGTCTACGTCCACATTCGCGACATCGTCCTCGTCATCCTGGTATTTATCGTCTTTGTCGTCGCGGCGGTAGCTACTGCGTGTTATTGTTGTCGTTCCTTCCTAACCTACCTACCTACGACGAGAGGTGGACGGCCGCGTGTCGCGCACAAACGCCGACTGCACGCCGAAGAAGGGAAGGAAGAGGCGGTGCAGCACGCCCTCGAGGGGTCGCGTACGTACACGCCTGCCTGAGTGCAGGATATCTCTCGGGTGCATATGCACCGGTGCTGCTCTTCTGTTTGTGCGCCACTTATTTACGTTGTAGCCGAAACGCGCTCATCCACGCGGATGTGCGCTCGCGAAAACCGTCCCGGGTGTATCATGCTCGTCGTGATTGTCAATGTTGTTGCGCTGAGAGCTTGAGTGGCACGACAAGAAGAGCAGTGTCGGCGACGTCGCACGCGACGAGGATAGCGACAACAACAACATCGGTGCGTTTCGCCGATGGGGGAGACAACGCGGGTCGGTTTTGCCAGCGGTCGACGACGACGACATTGTCGCTGTATGTTATTCGCGGTTGAACGCGATTCGCTGACACGTTGACAGCCGTTGTTGTTGTTGGTAGTGGTATTATTATTATTGTTGTTATGCCTGTGAAAGTGTACGGACCGCGTTGTTTCGCAGCGATCGTTATCATCGGCGAGCAGCGGTGAAGGTCGGTAAGAGAGAAGACAGCAAGAGAGAAGGAGAGACACAGGGATCATATTCGAACGTGTCCGAGCGCGGGGAATCCCGTAGTTCCCTCCCGTGATGAATTTCCGTGCCGTTGTGCGTCGCGCGGCCTCTCGCTGAGGACAACGACGCACGTACGACGACGACGGCGGCGGCGGCGAAGACGACGCGTTCTTCTCCTTGGATCGCGAGAGAGAACGCGAGAGTCACTTCGCCCGTTCGTATGCACGAGGAGAAAGGAAGCGGTGGGAGCTGTTGGACCGTGAGAGAAGAGGTGCCATGTGAATGATACGAAGAACCGAGCACGTCGTGTACGCGCGTTGGCAAGGAGAGCCTTTGACTGGTAACGACCGCTGCTGGTGGCCGCCACGCCGCTCGCCGTCGTGCTGACGATGGCATCGTCGAGCAGGGGCCCGGCGTCGCCCTCGGGCGGGCCCGTCATCCGCTGCGGCCACCTGAAGAAGATGAAGACACTGAAGAAGAAGTACTTTGTGCTGCGCGGCGAGGCACCCGGCTGCCTCGCCTGCCTCGAGTACTACGACAGCAAGAAGAAGTTCGAGAACCGGCATCCGCCTAAGCGCAGCATCCTACTGCACAGCTGCTTCAACATCAACAAGCGGGGCGACACCAAGCACAAGCACGTGATCGCGCTCTACACGAAGGACGAGTGCTTCTGCCTGATCCTCGACAACGAGAAGGAGCTGGACGAGTGGCTGCAGGCGATGCTGAGGCTACAGAGCGGCGACGTGCCCGACGGGGAACAACCGCGGCCTACATTTGGTGAGTGCGCCCGATCGAGTCATTTCGCACCGCGTATTTTCGAACTCTACCGCTCACACGAGCGGAACGCGAGGCGACGACGAAGCGCGCACCGATCGCTGGTACTCTCGCTCGATATTTTTTTAGCCTGTAGCCCCCTGCGAACGACATCCTCCGAAAGACGAAGGCTTTCTCGCCGCTCTTGTCGTCCGCGGTCGGCACGAGAAAGAATGCTTAGAAAGAAGGAATACGACTCTCATGGGGATGAGACGTGTCTCTCGGGGATCGGAGTGCGAAGGACTGTGGCCGACTCCAGCCGAGTTTTCACGCGGCGGAAATAGTCCGCCTGGCGCGCGACGATGCGCGTCGTCATCGAAATGCAAGAGGAACGGCGGCGATAAACACGGGCTCGATCGTCAGGTTCTCCCGACGCGCGCTGTCGACTCTGCTCTTTGATCGAGCTTCTTCTTCCTTCACGGCAACATCGTTCGATGGTTCTCCTTGTTTATCGCGAGATACCCGACTTCTCGTTTCGCTCGCGGCTCCTCTAAACGCGGTAACATCATCTGACGATCGACCCCTTGTTTATCGCGAGACCTAGCCGTCGTTACATTCCTCTTTCACGCGATTTCTTCATCTTCCCCGGGGCTCCCTCCGTTAGTCGCACGCGTGCGTTTGTTTACGTCTGACAGGATGAATCGACGACTTTGGGATTCCCTGTCTTTTTTTAGGTTTTCGTTCTTCATCTTTTCTTATTTATACATTTTAGGATTTCTTACAAACAGTACGTCACTGATGAGAGATCTACTGAGAGATCTTATGCTTTTATTTCTATTATTTATATACGTGTATCGTAAAGAAATTTGCACGAGTGTTGAAGAATTTGCAAGAATTGCAGGAATATAAATGTAGAGGCTACGACAAAGCAACGTCTTACTGTCGCATGTATTTTGTGACTTACACATTTTGAACAAATTATGCAGCCTTGGCATAAAAATAACGTTGGCAATGGTTTGTGCTGCTGTGCTGTCAGCAAGAATAAAGAAAACAATAGTGACAATGATTAAATATAAGATGTTTTTGTTTCAAATTACAGTTAAACTTGCACGAGTTTTGCATATACATCCAAAATTCGTTTGTTACAATGCATATAAATAATAATGTATAATAATAATGTATTCATGTGATGCAAAGCGAGTATATCGTGATAATATTGAACGTTTCTTTGCATCACATAGAGAAATACGATAAATAATAGTTTGTCAGCTGCATTCCTACACTTTATTCGTTTTATTTCAGAACACGTGTGGCAAGTTACAATGCAAAGAAAAGGTCTAGGAGCACGAAAGAACATCCAGGGACCCTACAGATTATGCCTCACCGATCAAACCTTAAGTTTAGTGAAAATTGGAGAACAGGATAATTCGGACTCCATCGAGATTTTCGTAAGTTAAATAGTTCAAAGAAACTATATATAAATTATAATTTTACTATTTCGCAATTGAATTACTTAATAATGTCAGCTATTCATTAATTGTGGAATTTTTTAATTTTTCTTTGTAAACTGACTGTCAAGAAGACTTGGACATTGGAATTAATATTTTTTTTGTATCTTCAGCTGCATTTCGTTAGACGTTGCGGATTCGCGAACGACATATTCTACATAGAAGTCGGCCGATCCGCCGTAACTGGGGATGGTGAGTTCTGGATGGCGGTTGAAGACAACAATATCGCGCTCAATATGTACGATGTAATAACGACCGCGATGAGGAATTCGAAGAGTAACAAGGACGAGGTGGGACCTCGTCAGAGGATGCGTAGTTCCTCGGCCAATGAAGCCAGCAAACCGATATCCGTTCTACAACGACGGCATACGGGTCAAAAGCTTCATGGCTTTTCGCCTCTGGGTAAGCTGCAACTTTTTCGGGTCCATTTTTTTTTTTATATACGTACTATTTACCCGAGCCAGGATATGAGTTATGGGTTATTATCCAAATGTCACGTACTGTGTGTGTGTCCATTTATATCGAAATGTGGTTTTCACATGTGTAACTGGCAATACATTCTCGTATGGGCGACTTGCTATGTGTTTATAGTTGGTACTGTGTTCATCGAGGAGTCACTGCGTTCTGTTTTACTCGTACAGGTGTGGTACTTGAAAGTCGTCCTTTATAAATTCCTTTTTACATCCAAAAACTCGAGAGTATTATCTGAAAAACATTATTCCTCTTTACACAGGACCAAAACTGCACACATATTAAATTTGTATGTCTTATCTTTGAGTACCAATCGAATCGTCGTGTACGCGTACACATAAGAACTCGACTCTTAGAGTAACACAAGTGGGTTTACGGGGTTTACAGAGGAACAGAAGACACACAAGGAGCAAGTGGAACCGTTGCAGGAGCAGATTGCTACTTCCTGTGCTCCTACACAGTGTAGTCAATCTCGGAGTACCTCCTCCACCAATACAGTCACGGGTCTGTTCTCTGTCATAGTAGCTATCTGCTTTCCTCTTTTCGCGTTTCATAGTGATCTCGATTGGCAAGAAAAACATTACAAGAACGGCGTATCGTTTTTATTTTCCTTCGATTTTTTCATCTCACGAGGCGTAGGATGTTATTCGGAATACTTGGTCATTGCATTTTTCTATTGCACGGATTTTTGGGAGATTTTTTATTTCCTATCTGTATCGTTGTACACATTGAGTGTAATGTTAACACTGTGTTGCTTACTCGCGCATAATCGGCATACATATTACAGTTGTCAAAGTATAAGTAGAGATCGAAGGAAAGCAGTATATTGTGCATTCTCTTTTTTTTTATTTTGCCCCGTAAATTTCCGTTGTGCCAAATGGATGTGAATAACACAGGGAAACTTAAGGTCTTTGTACGAGTGCAATGATCAACTTCGTGTGACAGAAAGAGAAGTCTGGCCCGATATACATGAAGTAATTGTGCATCGTTTCCCGACTATTAGCTTCATGTTGTAAATAGCATGATTAATACCGACCCAGTCAGTAAGTCGTCTGGAGTCCGTAAGTTGTCTGAGATGTGTCAGAGATATTATATATAATGTACATATAATATACATATATAGCATTTTGTTGAAACGTAGTATATCGGATAGGGAAAGGATTAAGTTACAAAACTTTATTGTTACTTCGATGTTGTTTCATCGCAATTCCTTTGTATTATATTTGAAATTATCGACACTGAAGATCGGGTTATTCTTGAGGTTACAATCTGTTTTTATTTCTTCTTTTTCTTTTCAAAGTTAGTATCCATTCCTTCTTCTGATTAGTAAACCATCACGAAACATCAGAGACACTCGCGAAAGATCATACATTTCATTGTTCGTATCTGTCGAAATCTGGCGCGTAAGATGCACGTAAAAGACAGTAAAACAGTTGTGCGATAGTGAGAGGTGTGTGGTTTGCAGCCGTTGCTGGTACCGGGGCTTGGACTGCTGGGATTGCCACGACTAATGCCAACTGTGCCGGTACCGCTAGACGTCGTCATTCGGTAGCCAGTCATCCTCATTCCGTCAATAATTCCCAATCCGCTCATGTCACAACAGCAACAAATACAAGTACATCCATGACCACTACTACCACCGTCACCACCACTACCATCACCACTACAACCACCACCACTACCACCACCACCACCACCACCATCACCGCGACCACTACAACCGCGACAATATCCCATCAGAGAACCCTGTCGCTGCCCTTAGCTGCCGTTATTATCAATCAAACGCAATCATCTAAAAGATCAGTTTTACGGTGTATGTATTTTGTTCCGTCATATCTATATATACATATATATATATATATATATATATTTGTTTAATCGAGCCGAATTTGTTTTACTCTTCAGTGTTACTGCAGTTTCGCTTTATCACTACGCCCTTTCCGTTTCGCATACGAATCTCTTTTTTCCCCCCCCCCCCATCCCCTGGTAACTTTTCGGTGTGCGAAGTGCCGAACGATCAGTGTTACGTTTACTTATTCGGTCACGACTGTAAAGTTCCGCTCTGGCATGCTGTTCAATATGCATGTGATATATATTATTATTATTATGAGACGAACGCTGCTTTCGGTTTGTATATTTTGTTTCTGTTCTGTTCGGATGTAAAATATGTTTTCCCTGGATGCTGCGTATCTTTGAATGGTTTGGTAATAACCTCTGGCTAAAACTTGGTTTCTACGATCCTCGCTTCTTTACTTATTAGTTACATAATAACCCGAGCTCCTCGCGCGGATATGCGCGGAGGACTCGTTCGTGCGATACGATGCGATTTACCGTCTCTTCTGCGTTGCTTGAAACTCCAAGAGTATACATACCTGTAACAGTAAATACACTGCTGAGAGAAAGAGAAAAAGAAGGAGATAGATCTGTATACCGATATGTAATATATGCGACACTATTGTAAACTAACAACCGCGCTGCTGCTATGCTGGGAGGATGGAACTGGCTTTTTCATACTCTTAACGCGTTAAGGACAAAAGAGTCGCGTCGTATGAGGAAGATCTCTAACGAGTATGTTTGCAGGTACGACTGGGCGCGATCGGTGCGACAGCTTGCCGTCGAGGGCTCGCACTACCAGTGAGGGTCAACCAACCACGGTAGTGTTGAACCATCCCAGAGGAACCCATATCATGTCCCATGTGCCACGACCGCATTCCATGTGCGGACGCGGCCTCTCGTATTCGCCGCCGATCGCGTCGATGCCCATCAGTCCGGCGTCCGACGTCTGCTCGTCCGACTCGGCCGGATCGTCGCCTTCAATGGACGACTGCGGCGAGAACATGTCCGAGGAAGGCACCGTCTCGCGATACGGACACTCCCTGACTCCGGACGAGCAACCGGTGATCTTGGATAAGAAGGGTGACGACTACGCACCCTGGTCGACATCGCATTCGCATCTCAAATACTCGCCGAACTTCAAATCTCATTCGCCCTCTCAGGTGAACCGTGTAATACTTACGTTTCTGAGTATGGGATTCGAAACGTTACGGGAGTGATATCTGTGAATAAGAACGGATTTTTTATATTCACCGTTTTGTTCGTTCCCACCCGGAAGGAGCGTTAATCCACTTTGTGACTGCTATTTTGTATTATGCGAGCATTACTCTGTGATTATTTTGCGATTACTATGCGAGGATTACTGTACGATGAGCATCGATGGTAAGTCGACTTTCCGTTCGCAGAGTTCCTATGGTGAAATGTACAGTCCTTGCGGCTCGAGTCCAGGCCGCGGTGGCGCGTACATACCCATGAGCCCCGCGACGACGGTGCACTCGCATTCCCGCGCGTCATCCCTCGTGGAGGAGAGCAACGCGTTGTCCGATGGTTATGTGCCGATGGCGCCGGTAGGAGACGACGGTTACGTTGATATGGATCCTGTAAATAGTCACAACGGTCACTTCCCGGACGACATGTCGCAGCACGACGGCAGCAGTTGTTCCGTCACCTCTGGTACGCCCAGTACCGATATGCGTTTCTCCGAGTATCATTTGGACAAGGTGACTAGTTTCCTGGCTCCCGGAGAGGATCTGCAAGCCAGACCGACCAGAGCTTACTCGGTTGGATCTAGACCGGAGCCTGCGAACAGGCATCGTAAGAATAGGTATGTGCTGATATTCTAACGTGGCAGAGTTATGACCGTGCGTTTTATTTGAGCGCGAATCCTTTGCTACGAATGCGCATATAACCGAGAATATCGATTTATTTGACATGATGATTTTCGCTACACGCAGGTTGGACATCACCCCACAAGACGCCAGTAGAGTGCGAGCATTTTCCGTAGGTAGTCGTTCCAAAAGACCCGAGATTGGAAGGCTAGCAAACGTGGTCACCGCGCCGTTACCAGGCGCCGGCTCTGACGGCTCGAATTCGAATAAGTCCAGTTCCGCGCCGTTGTTGTCCAGCTCTTGGGGTCACAACTCGGGTTGCTCCGGCGCGTCCGATCGTATGGAGGATCTCATGGAATTGGACTTTACAAGACCCAATATTCCTACTGCTCTTTCCTCGCCACCATCATCCTATCCTCAGCCGCAGTCGCAACCGCAATCGTACTCTACTGCCACCGACACCAGTTCCTACGTTGACATGTCGCCCGGACAACCCCCCGTATCGACTACTGCCCCATATGTCGATATGAGTGGCATGAATAAGGTATTGATGCCTCGACACTTGCTTTATTCATAAGATGTTTCCGATAATCGTTGTCAATCAATATGGACAAAAAAACTAATATATGCACATATATATATCTATTTTTGCAGATCAATCGCAATAACAATAACAATACAATCACTGCCAACCACAATCATAGCCACATGCATATATCATCGTTAGCTTTCGCCCATAAACCTGTAATTACGACTTTGAAGCCGGTAGAGGAAGCGGAAGGACCTTACATGAGGATGGACGGAACTGCGGAAGATTGGTCGCATTCGGAAGCGAGCCCGAAACAAGTGTCGTCACTTATGCAGGAAGATATCTATCAAACGAATGGACCGCCAGGTAAGTCTGTGATATTTGACGGTTGAGCTAGTTTAAATATTTAAAATTTATGTCTGAACGGATATGTTATGATATGATAGTAATAAATTAAAAAAAAAAAATATATATATATATTTATTTATTTATTTATTTATTTATTACAATGATATTACAAAGATTGAATTGTATTTTAATAAAAATGCATTTCTCACTAATAAAGATTGTAACAATAATGTGATTATTTTACAGGTAGTACAAGAACGGCGCCGGTAGATCTACCACAACCGAGGCGTCCACCGGAAGGATACGTAGAGATGTCGTTTAAGACACGTCCAAATCTGGACCAGGACTACATGAATATGAGTATAGGCGCGAATAATCGTAATAATCGCAAGACAACACGAGTGGGTAACCGCAAAGAGAAATCACGGTCGCAGCCTATCGCTATTCAGGCGGGTAGTAAGCCGTCAAAGACCCCGAGCTTTTTGCCATTGAACGGTAGCCCGACATCCGAGAGCCTGGCAAGCACACCCGCTTCGCCACCGCGAGCGACGCCTACGGGCTCTTCAGCCACGATCTTCCCCTTCTCGTTGAACAGTCCGCAGTCGCCGGTGAAGCCGTTCACAGAACAGAAGAAGAGCGAGGAGTTCTCCGCGACGACGACGGACGCCTCGCCGAGCAATGATTACGCGATGATGGAACCTGCGAAGAAGTTCTGCGCGCCGCCGTGTTCTGTGCCGTCGACGGAGACAGTGCACGATCCTACATCGCGTGCGAATCACGAGAAACCACCTAGTCCCGTAGACAAAAACGCCGCACGGATTATATCGCACTCGCTGCCGTTGCAGGAACAACATCATAACGCGGTAGGCCCATTGACGAAGAGACTCTCGGATCTGACGGTGTCGAAACCGCGTCTCGTCACGGCCTCGCCGAATACCAGCCCCACCTTGACGGGTTTTAAGCCGTCGTCTGTGCAGCAGCAGCAGCAGCAGCAGCAGCAGCAACAACAACAACAACAACAACAACAACAACAGCAGTCGTCGCCGAAGCCATCCTCACCGAAGTTTATCGACGAGACTCCTACGCCTACGCCGACGCCCACGCCGAGTCCGTTGGACAGCGAAGGCTACGAAAAACTGCAGCCGGGCGCGACGATTCTGCACTACGCTAGTCTCGATTTACCGGAGGTTAGTAATCCTGCGCCTGTGTCGCCGGCATCCGTGCAGGAGGGTCTCACCTACGCCGAAATCGATTTCGCTAAGCTCAGGCAGAACTAACGTATTGCGTTGTTGTCCCGGTGTAGGCGCTCATCGGCGCGACAACGATGACGACGACGACGACGACGACGACGATGACGACGACAATGACGATAACAATAACGATGACGACGACGATGACGACACGACATGGGCTGACGCCTCTTGTGTTCCCTATGATAGCAACGAGTAGGCAGGGTATATAATATCGATCGTTCTGACATTGGCTCGGCTGGTCTAAACGAGAATAGGGCGCCGGATATAGGGACTGTGTATATATATATAAAAATTCGTTTCTTCGCTCTAAGCCTGACGGCACTCGCCACGCCGTTCGCCGATCTTCCTAGCGTGACGGTCTTGGCGGTCTATTTTAAATCGTTTGAGGAAAAGAAAAGAACAAGCGTCGTTAGTACCTATAGTTCTGGTTGTACTGCATTGATATAGTATTTTATCGGAATGATGTAAAATTGTTTTTAGCGTAGACACGCGAGATAAGTATATTTATTTTCGTGGCTAATTCCGTGAAGGGCTCGCAAAATCTGTTCGTGCGTACACCGTTTTTACAACGTTAAAACAGCCGATATATAAGAGAGAAAATGAACAAATTCAGCAGGTAACTGAATTGCTGGATGAAAGATGTTATATTTTATTCAGTTAAATAATATAAATCTCTTAAATTCTAGTTTCTGTTAGCAGAATTGCTCGTTGTCTCAAAATTTATTTTGTTTTATATTATATATTTCAGATATGCTGACAAATCGAAAAGGGAAAAAAAGAATAAGTCAAGTTTTCTGCAAGATATATATGTATATGTGTATATCAAGTTTATATTTATAATATATTCCTAATGATATGACTACGAAATTTATTTATGTTAATTGTTTAGGAGAGCTGCGCTCTAGATAACGTAAATTTCTATCTTTTTTCATACGTGTATAAATTTTAACGACGCATTTTCTTTTTTTTTTTTATTTACGCATGGTGAATTCGATGGAGCTGGCTTCGTTGAGACTCGTCATCATTGTTCGTACAAAGTACAGCATGTGTTATGGCTGCACGTTTATTTTGGCGTTCTAGTATTCTATGCTAGTCAAAATTGTCGAGTCCGAATTTGAGACACGCTTCTAATTTATATTTAAGAAAGCAGTCACATTATACGTGTGAAAACTTGCGCTTGATATATAAAAAAACACCGGTTTTATCATTATTCGAAGTCTTCTAAGATTTCTAACGAAGTTAGAATATAGGTCTAACGCGATCTACGGACGACGACGTTCGAACGAAATTTCAAAATGAAAAGAGAAACACGAGATGTGAAATTGTGATCTGCATTTTTTTTTTATAAAATCAATAATATAGTTCTTGGGACCTGTGTTTGCACACAGGCACACGCACCGACGGTGGTATTTTTCCGTCGTAGGTTCTGTTCGGAAAGCATAAAAAAGAAGAAAATAATAAAAATTCGAAGAAAGTTTCGATCGAAAACTACGATGTATCGTAAAAAAAGCTTTAGAAATATCGCACAGAGGAATGAATGAATGAACAGTGATGTGTGTGTGTGCGTGTGTGTGTGTGTGTTAACAGTACACTACCAGAAACATAAGTACTGAAAGCGAGTGTGAGAAACGTGAACCGAGTTGTCCTCGTTGACGATGAGATCAATTAAGTCGGATGAAATTCTGTAGATAGCGGACGCGCGGAAAGAAAACAGTTTACAGCGCCGGGATAATTATTTGTGTCGCTCTCTCGGTTTCATCCGCCTCCGGAATTTGATCCGATTGTTTCCTCGCGAAGGGAATGTTACCCGCCAATGTTAGATCGACATCTCTTAGAATTCGTATTGCAGACAAGATAGATGTTCCGTACAAGTGCAGTATACATGTGTTGTCACGCTTTTCGTATAAATCATGAACGGAGTCGGGTTAATCCCCCGTCGCGGGATAATTAACTCGACTGTATACATAACGTACATACACATACACAGTCGCATACACGTGCATATATGCATATTCGGTCTGCAGGATATTCTGTGAAAGACGGTACAACCGACGATGTGCCGTGACGATATCACGAACGAACCGAAGACGGAGAGAGAAATGATCGGAAAGACCTATTGAGAAGAATAATGAAGCAAAGAGAAAAAAAGGGAAATGAGAAAAAGGAAAAAATATAAAGACGATTAAATCTTTATCGAGATAGTACGGCTTATCTTGTTTCAACTCTAATATATATTCATTGCATGTGACTTATTTAAACGTAATTGCGGCGGTTGTATCGTAACGTACAGGGTGTCTTGTGTATACACACGTATGTCCGACGAATGTCCGTGTGGATGTGCGTGCATGTATGTGAGTGTACGTGCGTGCAGGCGTGCGTGTGGGCGTGATGTGTCTTGGTATATGGTGCGTGTATACAGTGCGGACAAGCGTGTGTATATACATATATGTGCACATATACATAAACACATACATATATATATATTATAAATATTAAGTATAATAATAATAATCATTAATAAACTCACAATATAATATGTGTTGCTTTATTCTACCTTACCATTTAAATCGAAACATTTCTAAAGTGCTTCAAATCTCTCCAAAAGGAATTCAGCTTTTTTGTAAATGTGTATCATGAAGATATCATGAGTGAGTAGCTGCAACATATTGCTGCCAAAAACTGCTACAAACATCCTCCGCTCATCACATTATCCTGGTATAAAAACGTGAAAACGAGTAACTGAAATTTTTAAATTACATGGATTTATATTAGGAGAATAGGATCTGCGAGGTATTTCAAATTACCGCCAGAACTTTTGTTATCTTTTCGCACATTATGTTTTCCTGATACAAAAATGCGAAAATTAGAGGTCTTGGATTTCGTGGATTTGTATCAGGAAAACATGATGAGCGAGAAATGTTTTGAGTTCTAGTTTGAAGTTCCAGTTACTTCTTGTATCTTCATATACTCCTGGTATCAGAACGCGAAAATCGGCAAGTCAGGATTTCTCCAATTTCGAGAATTTGTATCAGAAGCACAGGACGTGCGAGGAGGTATTTCGAGTTCCCGCTAAAACTTCTGATACCTTCTCGATCTTCATGTTCTCCTAGTACTAAAATGCAAAAATCAACAGTTTCAAATTGTCAAATTTTGAGGATTTATATCAGGAGCATAGAATGTATAAAGAGGTATTCCGTAGAAGTTTCTGAGTTTCCGCAGAAATTCCTATTATCTCTTGAGTCTTCAGGTTCTCCTGATACCAGAATGCGAAAATCGGCAAACCAGATTTCTTCAATTTCGAGAATTTGTATCAGGAACATAGAATATGCGAGGAGGTATTCCGAGTTCCCGCCAAAACTCCTGATACTTCTTCAATCTTTATATTCTTCTGATACCAGAATGCGAAAATCAGCAAACCAGATTTCTCCAATTTCGAGGATTTGTATCAGGAACATAAAATGTGCGAGGAGGTATTTCGAATTTCAGCCAAAAACTTCTGCTACCTCTTCGGTCTCCATGTTCTCCTGATACCAGAATGTGAAAATCGGCATACCAGATTTCCCCAATTTTGAAGATTTGTATCAGGAACATAGAATATGCGAGGAGGTATTTCGAATTCCCGCCAAAAACTCCTGCTGCCTCTTGGGTCTCAATGTTCTCCTGATACCAGAATGTAAAAATCGGCATACCAGACTTCTCCAATTTCAAAGATTTGTATCAGGAACATAGAATGTACGAGGAGGTATTTCGAATTCCCGCCAGAAACTCCTGTTACTTCTTGAAGCTTTATGTTCTCCTAATACCAGAATGCGAAAATCGGCAAACCTTTCTCCAATTTCGAGTTTTTGTATCAGGAACATAGAATGTGCAAGGAGGTATTTCGAATTCTCGTCAGAAACTCCTGCTACCTCTTGGAGCTTCATGTTCTCCTGATACTAGAATGCGAAAATCGGCAAACCAGATTTCTCCAATTTCAAAGATTTGTATCAGGAACATAAAATGTACGAGGAGGTATTTCGAATTCCCGCCAGAAACTCCTGTTACTTCTTGGAATTTTATGTTCTCCTGATACCAGAATGCGAAAATCGGCGAACCAAATTTCTCCAATTTCGAGAATTTGTACCAGGAGCATACAAGAAGATGTTACGAGTTTTCGTTAGGAACTCTTGTTACCTCTTCATACGTCCTGTGCTTTTGACATCAAAATGAGGAAGCTCGGTGTCTGGGAAACGCATATGCCCCAATTTTAGAAATTTTTATCAGGAATACGTAATATGCAAGAAGATATTTTGAATTTCTGCCAAAAATTTCTGTATTTGTTTGTTATGTTCTCCTAATCCCCTTATAGAAAAGTATCACTAGTTGTGAGAATTTGGCCAGTAATAAATAGTAATTTTATTACTCGTACGAGTAATAAAATTATTGAACGACAGTAATTATCACTGGCCAAATTATCACTTATCAGTATTAAATTTCTATAAGGGTCCTGAAATATGGAAATCGGAATATAGGATACATTCAGGGTGAATGGGATATAATAAATCTGTATTGAATGATAAAAAAAGTATTTATTTTGAGCTTATTTTTGGGTTATATATTTTGTATGTAATAACATATAAAGAAATACATATAATATTACTGTATGTTATATCATGATACGTTAAAAATATTAAATTATATACATGTACACAATATACACAGTATGAAATGTAAAAATGTTATATAGATATTAGAAAAATAATATAATATGACGCACACATATAAGTATATACATATTTAATATATAAATTACTTAATTTAATTACTTAATACAATTTTCATATTACTGTTATGTAACATTATCTATAACTAATATATAACGTTAATATTACTGTTAATATATATTTTTTATTTACAACATATGGTTTTTGTCTCTGCTATATGATCGATAAATGTTGGCTTGAAAAGGTTCGTGTCTCAGATGATGGCGCCAAGTTTAGTTCTAAAGTCTCCAATGCGAGCCGCCACTGTATTTACCGAACTAGTGTTCCTCAAGTCAGAGTTGGAATTCCGTCCGCCATATGTATGGAGGAAGTGAATGAGAGAGAGAAGCTGCTGTACTTCGTCATTTCAGTCTTACAGTTCCTTCCTCATTCCCATTCATGTCAGCTTTGGCGAATAGGATGCATATTAAACAGGAGTCATTACGCTTCGTCCGAACTTTGACTAGAGAAACTGTTCAAACAGTTGATATCATGATACTACTCAACGGTGTTGAGTTTCTATTTCTAAGTAGTATAATTCAACGGCTGGTCAGACGCACTTTTCTCTTATATTGAAACATAGGTATATTTATCAGGCTCCAACTTCGATAAAAAAGTAACGATAGCGAAATGATTTGAGAAACATTTTTAAGTTTGAAGTCTCTTTTCTGGCATATTTACTTCATAACATTACTGTCGTTTAGGGCCAAGATGTATCGAGATGTAAATAAGACTGAACAATTTTTAACTTCATATTTTCGTTGAGTTTTTGTATTGAAAATTAATTTTTATAAAAAATGTAATATATTTTGAAGATCACCGAAAGAGAGAAATTTAAGCTTTTTATTCATTGCTCAGCGAACATTGTACCTCGTTTCGTTCGTCTGCTGTGAGTGATTAAATTCGAAATACCATTTTTGCTTTAATATTGAATAACTCCGTGATAAAAATGCACCACAATTTGCCTGGATGCGAAATAAAGGAGAGAGTTCACTTTTTCAAGCTATACAAATCCCATTTGCTTATGATTTTTTATTTAAGCAGCGTAATACAGAAAACTGTTAACAATTTTGATATTTGATGTATTTGTATTTATATATTTATGTAACATTCTACAAAAAAAAAAAAATTAAACCTTATATTCAATAATATATATGAAAACTAGAGATTTCAATCTACAAACCATTTGATTATCATTGAGCTATTTTATTATCTTTATTTTTGTCGAAGTTAGAGCCTGTTGAATTTTGCTTATTTTTCATGATTAAAAATAATCCTCCAGTTTTTGTACGTAGTGTATCAATGTAAAAAAATTGTTGAATTTGTATCAATACAATTTTAGTTAATAAAACTTTAAAAAGAAATTACAACAAAGGTAAATGCCTAATTGTGCAATAGTATCCGCGCGTCTCCTAATTGATGTAAAATATTTGTATTCCCGTTGTTCTAAATAAGACCGATTGATAATTGAAGACGTAAGTCGACGAACCTTATTACGTGCCGCACTGGCGGCGGGTCAGATGAATGCGCATATTTACAAAAGATATCTACGAGCCTACGAATGCTGAAGTAGCTTTTCCGCAGTGTTTCCCTCATTTCACGTCAAATTGCCGGTTCGTCGGGTCGGACGGATAAGTCGAGATCTTCAAACGTGATTAAGCACATCCTAAATACACATGGACGGAGACACGTCACATTGTTTGCAATCGTTGTATCGTGTCGCGCGCTCACTAATTGACTGAATAACTCGCAGTGTAATTAACACACAGTGCAATTAAGTTTCTAATATTTTGCAATTGTAAATTCGTTTCCGGATAGTAACGTGGAGCTATCATACTGGCAGCTCTCATTGTTTCCGTTTCTACTTTGTAATCTATAAATAATAAGTCGATAATGTATACGGTTAGAAATTGCTAATAATCTAATTATACCGTGTGTTAAAACTATTTAGTGTGCACATTGCACATTCTCCTACATAAGTCCTTATATATCAAGTTCTCTCACATATATCGAAGCGCGCAATTTCGTACTCGGCGGTCTCTCGTGCGTGTTTTTCACGCGTTGCTCGCTATCACGTCGCCGCTTTTTCGTGTTATCAATTATATTTTCACGCTACGACAAGATAGTTGCCTTCTAAGTCCTAAGAGAGAAAAAAGGATTTCATCAGCGAACCCTCGTGTAAATTCAGGATACAATCCCGCGAGCAAGCGGAGGACGTGCTTGCTTGCCTGCCTGCCTGCTAATTACAGCCGGGCTGATTACGAACCGGGGCGGCCGTTTTACGATGTTTGGCGAACATGTCATCCTGCGAACCGTCTGGGTTGCGCATGTACGACGGCGATACGTACGTGGGTGGAGCTCGGGCGGCGGGCGGGCGTCGCGATGTCGACGTCCGGGCTTCCACGTA